ACTCGTTATTCCATCGACCCAAGTTCAGATAAGATGTATCTGGATCTTAGAAAGCTATACTGGTGGCCTAAAATGAAAGCAGATATTGCTACCTTCGTAAGTAAATGCCTTACTTGCACCAAGGTTAAGGTCGAATACCAGAAACCCTCCAGTCTGCTACAACAACCAGAGATACCAAAATGGAAGTGGGAGCGGATCACTATGGACTTCATAACCAAGTTGCCCAAGACAACGGGTGGACTTGATACCATATGGGTCATTGTCGACAGATTGACCAAGTCCGCACACTTCCTACCCATCAAAGAAACCGACAAAATGGATAAACTTACGAGAACCTACATTAGGGAGATTTTACGATTGCACGGTGTTCCCATATCCATTATCTCGGACAGAGATAGTAGATTCACTTTTTGGTTCTAGCAGTCGCTACAAAGTTCTCTAGGAACTAGGTTGGACATGAGTACAGCCTACCACCCACAGACCAACGGACAAAGTGAGAGAACTATCCAAACCTTAGAAGATATGTTGTCATCCTGTATGATTGACTTGGGGAAAGGTTGGGATACTCATTTACCCCTTGTCGAATTTTCCTACAAGAACAATTATCACACGAGCATAAAGGCAGCTCCTTTCGAAGCCCTCTATGGCCGAAAGTGCAGATCCCCTCTATGTTGGGCTGAGGTGGGTGGCACCCAGTTAGCTAAGGGACGAGTTCCCGAAAGCACTCTCATGGGTCCGGAGATCATTCGGGAAATGACATAGAAGATCGTTCAAATTCGTGAACGATTGAAAGCCTCTAGAGACCGACTGAAAAGCTACGCTGATACGCGAAGGAAACCATTGGAATTCCAGGTGGGCGACTGCGTTCTACTAAAGGTCTCACCCTGGAAGGGCTTGACACGCTTCGGAAAGCATGGGAAGCTTAATCCAAGATACATAGGGCCTTTCGAGATTCTTACCCAAATCGGCCCCGTACCTTACAAACTCAATCTACCGCGCGAACTCAGTAACGTACATTCTACCTTCCACATCTCGAACATGAAAAAGTATCTGTCCGACGAGACTCTTGTTATGCCACTCGACGAGATCGAGATCAATGAGAGCCTTAACTTCGTGGAAGAACCGGTAGAGATCATAGACCGAGAGGTTAAGAAAACAAAGTAGAGACGTATTCCGATAGTGAAGGTTCGCTGGAACGCCAAGCGGGGACCTGAATTCACTTGGGAACGAGAGGATCAGATGAAACTGAAATATCCTCATCATTTTTCTTAGTTATTTGTAACTACTTATTTTCTTAAATTCTAATTTCGGGACGAAAGACAACCCAAAATGTCTATTCTGTACAACATATCATGTCAATAGAAGTCAGAACAGTTACTGTTAATTTTCAGACTTTTTGGAATAAGTTTGAGTATTCTATGATTAACACTTTAGGAGATATCAGGAGAGAGGATTCCTTAGGGTTTATTGTGCAACAATAAAGTCCCGACACATCATAATATTGGAGTTTACGGCCTAAACAATGGTGTGTATGGCCGTAAACCCCAAGGAAGGGGGTATATAAGTGACACTTAGTCTTTTATATCATTTTTCCACCTTTCCAAAGCAAACCCCAAACTCTCTAAAGTATCATCCAAGTTTTCTTCAAGATCTTCCATCTAGTAAGTGTTTCTAGCCCTTTCAAGTTACTATATCACCTAATCTAGTGTTTTAACACACATCCATCCGTGAAAATGTTCTAAAAGGTTGTTTCTTCAAGTTTCACCAAGAACACACACTAGTGTTCTTGGACTTTTGACTCATTTCAAGCTTCCATATTGTAAGTGCTTCTATCCTAGAGTATCATAGAGCTTATTATACGTCTATACATCAAGAAAACACGAAGAAACACTAGTATCAAAGGTGTTTACAGTCCAAGAACTCCTTGAACCTTAAACCCTTCTTAAGGGGCCAAAAGTGACCCTAGTCCCTTCCTTCCCTTGGGAAACTAGTCTAGACTCATTCCTTAATGTGTATAGGACTTTAAAACATAAAAATACCATGATCCATGAGGGTTTACGACCGTAAACCTAAATGGAAATGGTCTTATGGCCGTAAATCCCTCAAAGGAGGGAAATGATGCCCTAACTTCTTCCTTATGCTTATACTTCAAGTGGAAACACTTCTAAGGACTTATAAGGCTTCAAATCAACAAATGGTCAAAGGTGTATGAGCTTACGGCCGTAAACTCAAGGGTTTATGACCGTAAACTCAATGAGTTGAGCTCACAAAACCGTAAACTCAAGAAAGGGGTTCTTTTGAACCTTAAACCTAATAGCTTTGTCTTACAGCACTTAGATGCAATCCTTATGGATGCTTACGGTTAATACTTTACAAAGGTACCTTTACGGGACTAACCATTCCTACAACCTGCTATTAGCTACAAAGGACAATGCACATCTATGGATGCCTATGGTTAATACTATTCGGCATTTAATATGTCGTGTTTATCCTAGTACAAAAGGATAATACTTAAATGTTTATATTTTCCCTATTACTTTTATTTTGTGATACGTTCACATAAACGATGAGGTAGACTATATATTGTTAATAGTAGTCATGCAGGGGAAAAACCATATATGTTTGTTATTTTCAAAACATTCAGGTCTTGGTAGAAGACTACTTTTATACTAGTAGGAAATATGGGATTTTCTAGGGTTTTCACACTTATATCAAATGTTTCATTCAAAGATTTACGTGGCATTCATAACAGCTTTCCAAAACAGAGTAATGACACTTAATATTTATGAATTCACCAGCTTTATGCTGATCTACACTTTCAAAATAACTTGTATTCTCAGGTCACCAGTAGATAGGTACGATGACCAGGTTTTGAGAAGACGGAGCACAGACAAGACTCGTCTTTTATTTTGATTGTATATTTTGGTGTCATATTACAATGAACAAACACATATGTATTAAAACTTTACTTATAATGCAATGGATGATGTTGTTACTTGTTTACTACTTTGTACTGTTATGATACTTCACATGACGTCCTCCACCCCTGAACGTTTTCGTCGTTCTTGGTTTTGGGGTGTGATAGCCTAGACCTTTAGTGGGTCAGTAATTTCCTTGATTGTTAATAAGGGTTTTATTGTGGATATGTTTAGTAAGGGAAGGCTTGATATCGTCGATTCAAGTGGGTGGTTTATGTTGTTTTCAGGCTTGAGGTGAGTTTTCTCACTATACTCATGGGGCGAAAGCACCAAGGCCGAACCATCAGATTGTGTTTTGTATCCTTATGTATAGGATGTTGGTATGCTGTAGTGAATTATTGTATTGGTAGATTTGTTCTGATTACCTATGCTAGTTGGGTATTTGTTCATGTTCATACGCCAACATAATATGGTTGGGTTGAGGCTTTCCTGCTTTGTGCTGAAGGCCAAGATACCTGGGTGGTCCAGTTGATACTATAGGCCCAAGGGAGTGGTCCACCTTATGTTGTAGGCTTGTGAGTGATCTAACTTTGTGTTGTAGGCTCAGAATAATATGGTTGGGTTGAGGGGGTACTTCTTTGTGCGGTAGGCTAACGAAATCGGGAGTGGTCCAGCTTTATGATACGGGCTCAAGGGCAATCTAATCTTGTGTTGTAGGCCCAATATGCATGCATTGTATATATAGTGTTGTATGTGGTACTTTAGGGGAACTCACTAAGCTTTGGCTTACAATTTTTGGTTTCTTGGTTGCAGGTACATCAGATGATGTTAGAAAATAAAGGGATCATAATAACAATAAAAATAGACTTGGATAGATTCAAAGATCGTGTTTATCAAACACTTTTCGAAATCTGTAATTCGTCCATTTTATCTGCGGTACACGAATTCAGAAGTGGTATAATCCAAGAATAAACCAATTTGAATTATCGGCCTAATACAAATTGAAATAATAGAATACCTTGCTTGATGTGTTATTAAGAGAGAGAGAGAGAGAGAGAGAGAGAGAGATAAATTATGATATAATTTCGAGTATATGAATGTTATACCCTTTTTTGGAACTAGATAAAAGTTCTTATATTAGAGGGAAAAGTGGTTAGAATTGGTTAAACCAAAAATGGCGCCAAAACATGGTAGTTATTGGACACAAGGAACCAATACCATCGCTAGGGGATCTGTCCCTTGGACCCTGCTAGGGGTGCTACCCTTAGACCACGCCAAGAGGTTGCATCTCCTTGGAACCCTGCACCCAGGGGCACTGCTCCCAGACCCCTTATTCCTGTGTTCACATTTATCACACCTAGTGTCAACCCCGCACCTCCAAGCTCGGTTAGTAAATGGAGTTCGACCTATCTCATTACTAATAATAATTACACCAAAAAATATTGATAACACTAAAATCACCAATAGATGATCGGGGAAAGGTGAATGTGTGATCGTACACATCCTTCTGCTGATTTATATCTGAGAGATTATGTGATACTTTGACTCTATGGATTTGATCTGAAAACAATGATCGATTATTTTATGGTTTTATGAAAACGTTTTTAATAAAAATGAAAATTTTTGTGATGGTTTTTGAGATGCTACAGAAACTGTAATGTTTTTGCTTTTATATCGTTCAACTCTATTGGTATTGGCGTGCCACGTTAGGCCCTTGCATGCATCACCACCTTTTTTAAAAGTCGTGAACTTATGATCTTTTACGCACCACATTTAAAATATTTACGCATTTTGTCTTTCGTCACCATTTAAGGGCAACAACGTTGTATCTCATGCGTCAACTACCTCTTTACGTACACATCACATCTTCAAAGTACATTATCCTTCGACGTTTAGAGCATTCGGTATGTGACCAAAACACCGTGGAGGAGCCTATGTGTCACCTCCACAACGGTGTCATAACACTATAAACACCTACCCATATCCAATGTTCTTATAGTATTTTTCAAAAGTTTACCAACATCATTGTCGTTGGCAATGCTCGTAACACCTAACTTGTCCCTCCAACAAATTACCCACTACCCATATCCAATGTTCTTATAGTATTTTTCAAAAGTTTACCAACATCATTGTCGTTGGCAATGCTCGTAACACCTAACTTGTCCCTCCAACAAATTACCCACATTAATAGATTTCATGAAGAAAAAAAAAGGTCTTACATTAGGCGACTCTGCAGCCTAAGTACATGCATGTCGATAAAATAGGAAATAACATCACATTATTACACATTTACTGTTTTGTCTAGGTCACAATTAACCATTTAATACCTAATTAACTAATATCATTAAAAGCCTCCAAAGTAGGAGCCATATATTAGGTTGTGAAATGGCTATTTATAATAATAAATAAACTTTGGAATAATTGATTCCTTGCTTTCTAGACGGGCTAAAAGATGCTAATTTACGATACCCCACACCCACTTCAACTACCATGCTCCCTTCACTTTTCGTGTACGCATATCTGTCGATCTCCTCCGCCATTACCCTCGTGAATGCCGATGCTGGCAAGGCCATTTTCCTCCTCGCCGGTCAGAGCAACATGGCCGGACGAGGCGGCGTAGTAAACGACAAATGGGACGGTTACGTTCCTCCCCAATCTTCCCCGAATCCTGCAATTCTCCGCCTGAGCGCTGATCTCAACTGGCAACCGGCCACCGAGCCTCTCCACCGTGATATAGACTATTTCAGAGCATGCGGCGTTGGTCCGGGGATGGCTTTTGCTAACTCGTTGTTACGGCAGGATTCGAGCGTTGGAACGGTGGGATTGGTTCCTTGTGCTGTCGGTGGAACCAATATTTCCGAGTGGGCACGCGGTGGGCGGCTGTACAACCAGCTGATTCGGCGGGCGGAGGCGGCGGTGAAAGGCGGAGGCACCGTTCGTGGTTTGCTGTGGTATCAAGGAGAGAGTGACACTGTGAATCGAGAAGATGCTGAGTTGTACCAGCGGAGATTGGAGAGGTTCTTCGATCACGTGCGTCATGATCTCGTTTTGCCTGCCCTTCCAATAATTCAGGTCAGCTAGTGATTCAATTATTCGAGTAGAGAAAATAAGTGACAGTTTTGGTCCCTAAGTTCTACATCCATATGTAGTATTAGTCCTGCTTTTTAAAATTTTACATAGGTTTTTCTTATGGTTTCTAAAAATTGCATGCGGATATTTAAATGCCCCCTTAAATGAAGAAATTGCCCTTGTATTTGGCTTTTTCTACGCCCCCTTTATTTTTATTTTAGTTTTTAAATAAAAGGACCACCCGTCACAAGGGACGAGAATTTGGTTCGGAAATCGAAACTGAACCGAATTAGGTTCGAATAAACAATTTGATTTGGTTTTTGGGTATCCATATTATGTTTCGGTTCTCAAGTTATTCGGTTCGGGTTACTTAATAAGAGATTATTCGGTTCTAAATACTTGTTCCGGAATTGAAAATTCATTTAACTTTAATCCTGATTACTTTTCTTCGTTAGTCGCTAGGGTTACCCAAATAAGAGTTTTAATGTTTAACTTATATAGTTATATATGGATTTTTGGGTGGTTAATGTTTATTGTTAAGTATGTAGCTTCATAACTATATCTTAAGATTTTGGTGTTTAGATTTTAAATTCTTATATCTCAAGAATAGTTAATTTGTGTTTACATTCTTGCTATACAAATTCTAACATTTTTTTGCACCTTTGAAAAAATTCTGTATACTTTGCATTATTTTTAATTAACAAATTTGTATTCTTTAAAAGATTTGTTATGGAATCATAAGCTACAAAAGTCATAAAAAATGCAATGTTTATAATCATATTGTAAATGTTATTCGGGTTATCAGGGTTATAGAATCATAATACGGTTTATTCTTTTCTTTTCAGTTATATTAGATCCTTAATCATCTTATACATGTTATTCAGGTAATAACTTAACCAAACCAATTACTATTCGAACCGAACCGAACCCGTATTGATTAATCGGTCAGGTTTTCGGTTCATGCAATTACCTTTATTCGGTCTTTGGGTTATTCGGGTTCAGGCCGGTTTGGTCCGATTTGCAACCCAAATAACATCCCTACCCACCACTACCTTTCGTTGGAAATCCAACCACCCATCACAACTACCATCACCGCCATTACCATTGTTGCCACTAGAATCCACAACCACAACGATCTCCACCACATCACCCCCATTACCATCATCACCAATCACCAACATTACCAACATGACCATCACCACTATCACAATCACTTTAAACTAAAATGAAAAACCTAAGCCTTAATCATAATGAAAACCTGACCCCTGAAATCGTCTAACCTCTTTGTCATCAATACCATCACCCCCACCAAATGATGATAGAAAAAAAAAGAGACTAAGATAGAAAAACAATGTCACATTTGAAAGCACTGAGAGTTCCAAGCGGAGATGAATGCAAATGAGATACAAATTATGGTGAGATTGCAAACATTCAAAATTGTATTCAATTATGCTATCAGAATTGTCTTTAACCGAGTACACATGTGTAGTGTAATTAAATCTTATAACTATTGTAATTGTCATTAATCGAGTACACATGTGTAATTAAATCTTATAACTATTGGAATGGTCTTTAACCGAGTACACATGTGTAATTAAATCTTATAACTATCGAAATTTTCTTTAACCGAGTACACAACTACACATATGTAATTAAATCTTATAAGTAGCTAGATCTTAAAAACTAATCCTAGACAAGAATTCTCATATTAATAATTTGGATCACACCCAATCCATAATTGATGTCATGGGTCCGATTTAATTTGATATCTACTTTATGTTTTATTTTGTTGCAAGACAGGTGGCATTGGCCTCCGGTGCAGGGCCATACATAGAAAGGGTAAGAGAGGCTCAGTTAGGAACGTGGCTCGTGAATTTACGAACTGTTGATGCAATGGGCTTGAGACTTGAACCCGATCGGTTGCACCTTACCACAACATCTCAAGTAACGTTAGGGGAAATGTTAGCCCAAGCCTTCCCTCGAGACCACCCTTCCCCTATAATAAGTCAAGCTTCAAGAACGCCTCCAAATTTTATATTTTTTTTTTGTCTTCTATTTTTTATTTTTTAAAATTTATTCAAATTTATATTGACATTAAACACATCATCAAGATAGCATAACTCGTTTTTCATTTAGTCACGGTAGCATATTTTTCTAATTGTTTGAGTTTTGAATGAATAATTGTAATTCTAATGCACAAATTAGTAATTTTAATACTAAAAGTTCAATACTCTTTTTATGAAATATACTTTCTCTATTTTATTATAAGTCGTGGTATCTTAATGTGAGAAGCGCAAGGTTTATAGATGATTACATGTTTTCGAATGGCTCGAGACCTACTAGTTTGAATAAGTTTCTTCCAATCAAGGTTTACATTTTCCATTGGTGTCTCTTATTAAACCGGCTGCTAACTAAAGATTATCTTATAGCCCGGGATATTGATGTTTCGTGTTCCTTTTGCCCGATATGTGGTGATGATGCTAAAGAAGTTAATAATTTGCTCGTTCACTGTGAAGTGACAAAGGACATGATTTCTAAACTCAAAAAATGGTGTGATGTTAGTTTCTCTTCTTTTGCTTTGGTGTTTGACTTGGATCATTTTCTTCTTCCCATCTCTTGGTGACCCATAAATTATTGTTTGATACGGTTATTTCTACAGCCTTGTGGAGCTTATCAAACTTCATAAATAAGTGTCTTTGAAAGATCTAGACCAAAACAATAGGTTATTGATGATACTGTCGCTACTTCTTTTTGTTTGGTTGTTTGTAGGAAACATAAGTTCGATATTTATTGAAATTTATGGCTTCAAAACCCAATTTTAAATACTTCGATGTAGTTTCTTTTTTTTCTTAGCTTCTTGCTCGGGTCATTTTTTATATATACATATTTATCTGTTTAAAAAAATCAATGGTTTAAATCGTGACACAACTAAAATATCGAGAGTGTTCTAATTCACCTTTCCACATAACATAGACCGCTCATATGAAATCGTTTAACATTATTTCATATTTATTTCTTGAGTTTTAGCATATCAAATAATGATATATATATATATATATATATATATATATATATATATATATATATATATATATATATATATACACACACACTAGCCGTTTACCCACGCTAAACGATGGGTGCGTATAGTTTTCAAAAATTAGATCCGAGATGACAGCTTGTTAGGAATTTAAGGGGATATTAATGTTATAATGTTAGGTTGAAATGGATGATAGTTAATTAAAAAGTATCCATAACAACTTCAAAGTAATTTGAATCATTATTTTTCTTTACCAACACAATTACCAGAAATAATTATCAATCCCTAAACTGATTGCATTTTAAGATAAAAGCTAAACCCAATAATAAAATAAAAACTTCTATTTAATTAAAAAACCTAAAACAATACTTCTATATATGAATTCCAAAATCATTGAAAACTAAAAACTTCCTAAATTCAAAATTCAAAATTCACTAAACCCACCATTACAGGAAGAACATTAGAATCTAGTTTTATTTCTAGCATTCAACCCAAACAGCGGATGAATGCAAAAAACAACTGACTTTTATTTCATTATCTAATATATCAACCTACTTTGACATAGGAAGAAATCGTAATGTACTTTCATTGCTAAATGATGATGAGTTGCTATATTAAACATTAAAGTACATTTACAATAATAAGATATAAAAATCAAAGTATGATGCTATATTAGACACAAAAATAAGAGTAAGTTCCTAAAAAACCAACAAGGCCAACCAACCCACATAGGTGCTTAATGGTTGAAATTTGAAAATCTACAAAACTTTAACCCTTCTTAAAGAAGCTGAACCGAAACTGACTTGAGGCTTAACTGAGAAGATAATTACAGCACCAAAAAACAACCTAATATGAAAATAAAAGAAGTTAATCAAGGTTTTTGTATACCTTTAAAAAAAATTTAGACCATAAACCACATTAGAAAAAATGAATACATACATACAAATACAAATGAATACGCACATATTGGCAAAAATTGGTAATTAAGATTTTTGTTACCAAAACCTGAAGTAGATCACTTTAGAGAAAGAATGAGCAAGAGGAAATTAAACCGGAAAGCAGGTTACTTATTTTCTAATTAGATGCACCCTTAAGACCTATCAAAACAAATGCAACAACATCATGGTTAAGGGATGGTTTGATTCATTCAGATTACATTTAGGGGTAAAATAGGATTTCACATGAAACTTAATGAGGCCACATTTGAATTGTGAATCTAATTCCAGAAATTGGAGAAGGCTTTGAGTCTTGCTTCACATTAGCTTGATTTGTAGCTTCTTAAGAGTATAATCCTAAAACATAGAAACAGAATAAAAGAACAGTGAAATCACAAAAAATTTAGTGATTTACCCAGTTGTTGTTGATTCAGGCCCTGTTTCACATAGCAAAAATAGAGTAAAAAGAGAGAAGATAGGGGCATTTTTTTTGTGTTTATGCTGATAATTCAATCAATCGATTACAAGGATATTTATATAACATACTTCCAACTAATTATCCTAAAATGACTGAATCTACTGCCTACTAACTCTCTGGAGCCAAACATGGCTATTTACTTAGTCATACTCCTAACAAAAGACTGAATTGCCCCTGAATACAATACATGGCTTTGACTTGGTTTGGATTAACACCAACAGTTGCAACCTCTCACATAGATGCACTTATAAAAACCCTTATACACAAACATATTTTAGTCCTTGTACATAAACAAATTTTAGAACCATGTCTAAAATACAAAAAAAAAAATGGACAGAGGTTTATGCTTATCTGATTATGTTATCGTCGAATGAACAACTGTAATCCCAAGCTTTGTAAATGACAAATCAAACCCTGAAATCCCAAGATCAAATGTATAGAAATGAACAACAACAGGTTCTTGAAAGGGTCTAAAAACGAAAAAAAGAAACTAACTTGTTACTTGTTAGAAACCGTGCGACGTGTTCAATCTTGTATAGTCTTAGAAACAAATCATATACATACACATTGTTAAACATACACACACAGTCAAAGAAACGAAAGAGATGGAGAATAAAGATCATTGTTGAAGAAAAAGAGAACGAGCTTTGATGCCATTTTGTTTGGTGGTGTGTAATTACAGAGCGTTGGTAGTGAAAATATGGTGATGTGGTGGATGGCGGTGAGCTGGTGATGAAAGAGCATGGTACGTGAAAGTGGTGTGTAATTACATCCTTCCTGAGCACCATAAACACTGATCATCCTTTCTTCCTTCTTGAAAAAAAGGCAAATCTCTCTATATTGTCTCTCTAATCTCGTCCTTCATGAGGAACACCTAAACATGGAGCCATAGAGACACAGAGTAATGAGAATGAGAGAGAGTGTAGTGGTGAAGGTGAGACAATTAGGCTTAAAGGCGTTGTGACTCTTTTACCAAAAGAATAGAAAATTAGAGTGCAAACACAAAATCAAGTACTTTTTTCGTTGTTGTGAACAACACAAGGAGGTGGATGTTAGGGCTTCTGTCGTGAAGGCGGTGGTGCGATGATATTCTAAATCGATTTTCTTTGGTAGAGGCAGCCACACCCAAACCCCTAAACTATTGTGGAGAACATGAAAATCGATATCAAAGCCTTAATATGCACTGAAAGTTCAAAATTAGTGCTTTATACTTCAACACATGGATTTTCCTTCGATTTTATTTAGTCTCGCAAAAAGCCTACAACTTCATATCGAGGGTCAACTTCAAGTATTTTGAGTTGGATGATGGTTAATTAGGGTTACAAAAAAGCATAGATGGTAAAGACAAATGGGATCGTTCTAGAGAGGAAGGAACAATTTTGACATTTGAAATTGACAGGAGTGTGAGATATAGAGAGAGGGTAGAGGGGATAAGGGAAGTTTGGTATTTAAAACTCAAACCACCTTTTTACATATTCATCGGATAAGAATGACGCCAGGGAAATCAATAAGGAATAATGGTTCATTTTGACTGATTCAATTTGAAGATGAGACCGGGAGACCAATTCAAGGAATAGATTGGGAATAAGTCTTCATTTTGACCGATTCTGTTTGATGAACTGGGTCAAAGACTTCCACAAATAAGATTCAATGCGTAAAGTCATTGTACATGATGTTTTAATCGTTGTACCTCTTAAAATTTAGCAAAACATGCTAAATGCTTATTAAGGTATAAAGATATATGTGTGTGTTGGGTTTCATTCAAAATCGATTTTCTAAAAACGATAAAACGACAATGGAAGCTTCAAAATTATGAATAAACTTAAAACTCTTTATAACCCGCCAATTATCATTTTGCAAGACATGGAAATATTAACAGCAACCATAGTAGGAAAAAAGTGTTACAACCTTTGAAGACTTTGAGTCCTCTCAGGAGGTTAAAAGTTGATGGAGATGGAAAAAGACTCAAAGTAGAACTTCTCCAAAACTATCCTCCAAGTAAGAGTAAACAACTTCAAGATGCTAGTCTTCACTTGTATTAAGTTGTTCTTAAGACATTGAGACTTATACCAACTAAGTCATAAGGAAAAACAACTTATGAACCTTCAAATCTAGCACCAAAACGCAAGAAAGAATAGATGGAGAGAGGCTTGCAATTCTCAAAAAATGGAAGCCAAGAAGAAAGCAAAAGAACCAACATTTCTTACTAGTAATGCACTATATTTATACATAAACTTATGCATAAAGTCAAGGAAAGTATTAAATGAAATTATGGTGCTTTCTTACAAGTATGGAGTGGAAGAAACAAAGACCACGCTCAATCCATTTCCCTCTCATGAAAGTTATGAATTTCAAGTGAAAAAAGTAAATGTTATGGAGTGTGATTCACTCTAACATATAATTAGTAGTTATGTTGCAACTTAATGGTTACTCAAAGTGTCCAAAATGTTGTACACAACATTTATATTCATATGCTATAAATATAAACAGTTTTTGTTCTTTTTTGTTATTATTTCCTAGAAACAATAATTCCCAATATGTTGGTAAAATAATATTTTCATAAATTATGTTTTTCCAATTTAAATACTAGTCTTCATATTTATTAATAATCAAAATTATTCGAATAAATAATCAGTTAGTAGTAACTTGGTATAAAGTGTGACTCTAATCCTCATATCATATCATATCATCATCATATGATACTATATTATAAATGAACTATTTTTCCTTTCACCACATTCATTTGAAACTCTCATGTATTTTTCCTTTCACCACATTCATTTGAAAATCCCATGACTTTTTAATTTCATTCAAAGAATAATTATAAGTTGGTTAATAAGGTTAAATAAATATCAAACCTACATTGTAATCATATATAAACTAAATTTTAATATTAAAACAATATATTTACTTCTACTTATAAATTTATGTTTTTTTAACTTTTAACATAGTATACTTAATTTATTAGTTTTAATATATTATTGGTTCTAAACCATTATCATTTTAAGGATACAATTTTGGAACATTTTGTATGAAATATTTAAATTATTAATTTGAATAAAACATTACATGGTCAACTTAAATATAAACTTTAGTTTAATTAAAACAATACCAAGAATATTTTATAAATAGTTAAAAAATGATTAATTGTAGTGTCTTTCTAATAATGA